CCCTATATCAACCCTATATAAATCCTATGATCCCTATAGTTTCCATTTTCTTTTCCATTATCCCTATATAACCCCTATTAAATGTTGGGTCCCAAGGCTGGGGGGCTTTGGCGGTGCCGGCTTAGTGCCGCAGACAGTACCTGGATCGTTATTAGAAGTGACTTGGGTCTAGGGATATAGCCCCCCCTCAAGTAGATAGAATATGGAATATCTGGGGATCTTATTATAATATACCCAAAGCCATATTCTATCTACTTAACGGGGACTATAGGGCTTGGGGTGTTAGAGTTTAGGGATAGGATTTCCTGTAGCCCTTCGGGTTCAGGATTGAAGGTCAGCGTGGGATTTGGGGTTGTAGGGTGCAGGGCCTAGGGCGGTGGATACGAGAATCATGCATGACCCTTACCACCTTGTCCTTTCGAAATTCTGCTACTATAGTATAGTAAGGTCTTTTGGTTTAGTGCTGAGTGGTTCTCAGACTGGGGGCTCTTTGGGATCCTAAGGGTAGATGGGGTTATGAGAGGGTTACGGAGGCCCCATATCGATCGGAGGGTAGTTCTGGGAACTCTCAAATGTCAAATGAAGTGCTATTACACTAGACACTGAGTGAATGATGGGTCCTAGTTGTCAGAGAGAATGCAATCGTTTGGTGTTTTGTTTTGGATGTTGGCGTTTTCAGCTCCAGGTTGTCAGGTGGTTGTTGGATCTTCTGACATCCTTGATTCTCAAAACAGGTTATCAAGAGAGCGCAGCTTTCGTGTAAGGATTTCGTAGGGCGGCTTTGAGGTTTTGGGTTGTCAAGACCGGGTGGGCCCGTTTTGGAAGGGCAGGGGGTCCTCACAAGAGGGATCGTATTTGCATGTGTGTTTCTGTCTCTAAATACCTTGTTTTGTTCCGCTGGGAGACGTCCGTTCTGTAAACGGTCTGGTATGGAGCAATGTTTGAAAGGCAACACCTTCAAGAAGTAGCAGCTTTTATGCGAATTTCCCATGAACAATCTATCTTTTTTTCTGGCCCCTGAGCCCTAAGAAAACGTTGATCGAACCCCAATTCTGATTCAGGTACTGAACCTGAACTCCGGGGGCCGCAGCCAGTGGCTTGGTTGCTACTTGAAGGCTCTTAGGACTGTCCTGGGCT